TTGGCAATTATAGTTTACAGTCACTTTGTCTGATGTTCTAAAATTAATAGTGTTATGATCTTTGTATCACTAGATAACAGGTTTGAGGTAAAAAAATCGTTTGGATATAAACTTCATTTTAGAAGGAATAAAAATCAATTAGTCGAATTTTTACAACATAGGATATATGGCTATTTGAAAAATCTGTGATAAATTCTGTGTTTAAAAGTTTCAGTTCATGTATCGATACGTTTTTTTTATCGTTGGACAATGATAAAAATACTAACTATACGGAAGGTTATGTTTTATTTTCCCAAATAACTGTACATAACACCATTTCTGTATGATTTTTTTTTTAAATATCAACATGAGTACGGTTACAAAATGACCGATGCGAAGAAAATACACAAATAAATAGCAAAATGTCTTAATTTTAACGTTTTTAAACATTATAATTATTACATTACGCCATTCTAAGACTTATCGTATTCCCTCAATCGCTATGCGCATCTAGTCTTAACATTAATTTTGCTACAAAAACAAATACTTAAAAAACAAATACTGTATACACTAAAGATCAATAACCATGAATAGAATAGTGTGAAATATTGACCCGATAAATAGCGATTTAAAACAATCGGGAAACGAATAAGCACGATTTTCCACCTTTCTTAGGAGCGGAGAACAGGGAGATTTATTTTTATATGTCAATAAAATATCTTCATCGTTTTATTTTTCATTTCCCCTACAGAAAATAAGCTATTAAGTGACATGGCAAGTCCTGGATCCGGAACCACTTTACGTTTTCATATTGATGTCACCAGAGGCCAAATACCTAATTCGTTCAAATGTTTAAACGCTATACATGTAGCATTCCCCCGACTAAATAATATAAGATTCTGTATATTTATAGTCATAGACAATTATAACTGTGCAAAATATGATAAGTCCCCATAAAATGAGTTTTCTGTTGGATTTCAATCAATCGTTTTAGAAATGTAAAACCACAGTTGTGGTTGATGATGTAAGAATAAAAAATGATAATACAATATAATTAACTCTTTAGTCACAAATTCCCCCACAAAATATAATTACTCCGTCAAAGGATTGTTGCTAAAATAAGAACAATTTGTTGAATTATTTATTAAATTGCCGTTTTACAACAAAACATTTCTGAACAGAAAATGTATTTTTCTTTGTAATACAGTTTTTGTGTAGTGATGAAAAACGTCGTTAAGCGTAACAATGAACATTCTCAAGTAGAAATGAGAAAGTTATTGAACTTCCACTTGATTGGCCAGTTTTCTAATAGAATTAATTTCTTCCCTCGTTTCTAGTGGTGCGCAAGAGTGGCTTAAACATTGAAAACAAATTAAATATATAAGTTTAAGGCATAAATTAACTATTTTTTTTATAAAACCTAGTGAAGTTTGATGGAATTACTATTACGGTCGACGTTGGTTTTTCCTTCCTTTTCAACCGAAAAGTTTTTATATTAACAGAGTTTGGATTTGTTTCCTTTTTGCTCGTAATATTAAGAAAGTATATTGTTTCGTCACATGACCCTTGTTCTAGTGATAGACATTAATGTGCAATAGACATCACATTAAACGAGAAGTGCCAAAATTTAGCATGATAAAGATGTCTTGAAATTACAAGGGTTTTATTCTTTATATTAATAAAGGTCAACTATCAACATTTACAAATTAAACAAATTTTATTTGTTTAAAAATTACCGATACAAAATACAACACAATTGATTAACTTTTAACACACAATTAATTAACAGCGAAAAATTAAAAAGCACGATATAAAGTATTATATAATTATTAGTAAGAAAGTAATTGGGTACAGTATTTTAAAACAGTCTGCAGCAATTGTCTGTAATTATCGTATTATAGCATAATACGACTCACTCCCACGCACAGGTTCTCCCATGTGGGATTAAAGTGGCTTTTTTTTAGTGGTACAGTTAGCTTAAAGTCACCTCTATGGTGCATATTGTATATTGTAAGCAATGTTTATTTTATACGATAAAAGACATTTTGATTTGATTTGATCTTAAGAAGTTAATAAGATCAAATAATATAATAAGATCATTAATAAGAATAATATTAATAAGATCTTAAGAAGTTAGTAATTTCACACTCATTCAAAACTGTACAGTTACAAGGACATGAAGACTTAATGTATGACTCGCTCTAACTCTGGTTCATTTACATTACTTTGCTACACATCAATGATGGTCTAACGTGTACTGTCCTACAGTAGAGATACTGGTGGTTGTATCATCAGACAACACAACCTCTCCTACAGAGACGGTCGTCGTGCAGTGCAAGGATCGCTCCTACCTGGACAACTGTCTCTCTAATGTGTACTGTCATACAGTAGAGATACTGGTGATTGTATCGTCAGACAACACAACCTCTCCTACAGAGACGGTCGTCGTGCAGTGCAAGGATCGCTCCTACCTGGACAACTGTCTCTCTAATGTGTACTGTCCTACAGTAGAGATACTGGTGGTTGTATCGTCAGACAACACAGCCTCTCCTACAGAGACGGTCGTCGTGCAGTGCAAGGATCGCTCCTACCTGGACAACTGTCTCAAGAAGTTGTTTACTGTTATCATACATCAATGATGGTCTAATGTGTATTGTCCTACAGTAGAGATACTGGTGGTTGTATCATCAGACAACACAGCCTCTCCTACAGAGACGGTCGTCGTGCAGTGCAAGGATCGCTCCTACCTGGACAACTGTCTCAAGAAGTTGTTTACTGTTACCATACATCAATGATGGTCTAATGTGTATTGTCCTACAGTAGAGATACTGGTGGTTGTATCATCAGACAACACAACCTCTCCTACAGAGACGGTCGTCGTGCAGTGCAAGGATCGCTCCTACCTGGACAACTGTCTCAAGAAGTTGTTTACTTTTACCATACATCAATGATGGTCTAATGTGTATTGTCCTACAGTAGAGATACTGGTGGTTGTATCGTCAGACAACACAACCTCTCCTACAGAGACGGTCGTCGTGCAGAGCAAGGATCGCTCCTACCTGGACAACTGTCTCTCTAATGTGTACTGTCATACAGTAGAGATACTGGTGGTTGTTTCGTCAGACAACACAACCTCTCCTACAGAGACGGTCGTCGTGCAGTGCAAAGATCGCTCCTACCTGGACAACTGTCTCTCTAATGTGTACTGTCCTACAGTAGAGATACTGGTGGTTGTATCGTCAGACAACACAACCTCTCCTACAGAGACGGTCCTCGTGCAGTGCAAGGATCGCTCCTACCTGGACAACTGTCTCTCAAATGTGTACTGTCCTACAGTAGAGATACTGGTGGTTGTATCGTCAGACAACACAACCTCTCCTACAGAGACGGTCGTCGTGCAGTGCAAGGATCGCTCCTACCTGGACAACTGTCTTTCTAATGTGTACTGTCCTACAGTAGAGATACTGGTGGTTGTATCGTCAGACAACACAACCTCTCCTACAGAGACGGTCGTCGTGCAGTGCAAGGATCGCTCCTACCTGGACAACTGTCTCAAGAAGTTGTTTACTGTTATCATACATCAATGATGGTCTAATGTGTATTGTCCTACAGTAGAGATACTGGTGGTTGTATCATCAGACAACACAACCTCTCCTACAGAGACGGTCGTCGTGCAGTGCAAGGATCGCTCCTACCTGGACAACTGTCTCAAGAAGTTGTTTACTGTTATCATACATCAATGATGGTCTAATGTGTATTGTCCTACAGTAGAGATACTGGTGGTTGTATCATCAGACAACACAACCTCTCCTACAGAGACGGTCGTCGTGCAGTGCAAGGATCGCTCCTACCTGGACAACTGTCTCAAGAAGTTGTTTACTGTTATCATACATCAATGATGGTCTAATGTGTACTGTCCTACAGTAGAGATACTGGTGGTCGTATCATCAGACAACACAACCTCTCCTACAGAGACGGTCGTCGTGCAGTGCAAGGATCGCTCCTTCCTGGACAACTGTCTCAAGAAGTTGTTTACTGATACCATACATCAATGATGGTCTAATGTGTATTGTCCTACAGTAGTGATGCTGGTGGTCGTATCGTCAGACAACACAACCTCTCCTACAGAGACGGTCATCGTGCAGTGCAAGGATCGCTCCTACCTGGATAACTGTCTCAAGAAGCTGTTTACTGTTACCATACATCAATGATGGTCTAATGTGTATTGTCCTACAGTAGAGATACTGGTGGTTGTATCATCAGACAACACAACCTCTCCTACAGAGACGGTCATCGTGCAGTGCAAGGATCGCTCCTACCTGGATAACTGTCTCAAGAAGCTGTTTACTGTTACCATACATCAATGATGGTCTAATGTGTATTGTCCTACAGTAGAGATGCTGGTGGTCGTATCGTCAGACAACACAACCTCTCCTACAGAGACGGTCATCGTGCAGTGCAAGGATCGCTCCTACCTGGATAACTGTCTCAAGAAGCTGTTTACTTTTACCATACATCAATGATGGTCTAATGTGTATTGTCCTACAGTAGTGATGCTGGTGGTCGTATCGTCAGACAACACAACCTCTCCTACAGAGACGGTCATCGTGCAGTGCAAGGATCGCTCCTACCTGGATAACTGTCTCAAGAAGCGGTTTACTGTTACCATACATCAATGATGGTCTAATGTGTATTGTCCTACAGTAGAGATACTGGGGGTTGTATCATCAGACAACACAACCTCTCCTACAGAGACGGTCATCGTGCAGTGCAAGGATCGCTCCTACCTGGATAACTGTCTCAAGAAGCTGTTTACTGTTACCATACATCAATGATGGTCTAATGTGTATTGTCCTACAGTAGAGATGCTGGTGGTCGTATCGTCAGACAACACAACCTCTCCTACAGAGACGGTCATCGTGCAGTGCAAGGATCGCTCCTACCTGGATAACTGTCTCAAGAAGCTGTTTACTTTTACCATACATCAATGATGGTCTAATGTGTATTGTCCTACAGTAGAGATGCTGGTGGTTGTCTCGTCAGACAACACAACCTCTCCTACAGAGACGGTCATCGTGCAGTGCAAGGATCGCTCCTACCTGGATAACTGTCTCAAGAAGTTGCCTCCCATCCTGGAGAAGTCCGAGATGAAGGGTATTCCCAGCTCTAAGACTGACGTCGATGCTTCCTGCAGGTAATTCCTGATGCTAGGTTGACAAATGTAACTAAACTGTCAAGTTCAGCTTATTTAATTAGTTAAATAAAAAAAAACACTCTTTTATTCCTGCACATAAGACCATCCGCAAGCTCTTTTTAGCGAATTTTCCATATAAGGAATTCGCCACGATTACTAGAAAAATACGTATTTCTCTAGTAATCGTGGAATACGCTAATACCGTTCGTAGTACTCAAGACCTGGACCAGGGACCGATTAACTTTTTCACTAAGGCAACGGGGATTTTTTCCCGTTTTTTGGTGCAAAAAACATAAAATTTAGCAATTTATTTCCTAACAATTTTGTAGGTCTTTAAAAAAGCATAGTTTAGTAGATTGAAGCCTTATTATGCGGCTAACGGTTACGGAGAAAATTTCAAAAAAATTAAAATTTAAAATTCCCATGTTATTTTTAAGGAGAATACACCGTTGTACATAGTTTGCTTGTTTATCGACATACAGTATTTTTACTTCTCACTAAACTATTAACATTTTACAAAAATAAAAAAACACTTTTACCCTCCCTGTTGCAGCAAACCTAAGAACTCATCAAACTAATTCTATTTAAATAAGGAACAAATATGATATTTTTAATGAGACATTTTACTCTCGCTTTTCTGCAGGTTTGCTGCGGCGTGGGTATTCCACTTTGGGAATTGGAAATTGTAATACGTAAAATACATATATTTTACATGACACAATCAATATCACCTAAGCTAACATTTTCTAAGGTCCACCTTTGTGAGAGACTCGTCATCCGTGTAACGCCATAGTAAGGCATCCGGATGTTTTTTTTTTACTTTGATCACCAGTTCAATCCCAATGATTCAGAAATTAGTTCAGCCCTCTTGAAAGAATTGTGCTTGAAAGTTAGGTTTCCATCCAACTATCAGGTATTAGTTAGAAAAAAATACTCTGTACCATGCTTCACTAAGAATCAATTTATTTTGTTGTAAAACTTTGCTGTCTCGTATTCTAGGGGGAAGATAACTATTAGTTTTCAGTTAATGATGCATCACATGTATATACAGTATTGTCGTCGTGGATATTAAATCCAAACTATGCTTTTCAGTGCATTCAAGATAGGTATGGGATGTATGGAGACATTCGCCAATACTTGCCTCTCAACGGCAAACAGACAGACGTTAGACGCTCATGTCGCTGGCGCCAAACACACGTTTAAGTTTCTCTGTGACGACCCAGTCTTCCAGTCTGGTAAGTTATGTGTTAGCTAGATTTATAGATGCATATTTATATTTACAAACGTTTGTTTAATAAACATAAATACAGTATATATGTATAGCTAAAATTCTTTGTATTCAAACTAAACATAACTTTTACAGTTATGTAGCTATTTTCAAATAACGTTGTTTAATCACTCCATTAGGTTATCAGGGTTGAACGTCGTCATAAAATACTTCACCCAACGTTTTAATTTTCTTTAGATGCAAGTCATCTTAATCTAGAAAATGTTTTGTATTTCATAGCAAATTATTGTTAACAAAAATAACTACAATGTCCATTAAAAAAACTGTACCATACCTTAGGCCATAATGTGTCATACAATATTTTAGACAAGGTGACAGAAAATGAAAGTGAAAATGTAATATGATTTACGAGACAGTAAACGTACACTTTCATAAAGTGACAGTGAAGGGAAACGTTACTTGAGGCAAGGTGATGAAGGATGTCCTTTGCCTCCTTCTTCTAAAAAAAGTAACGGTGCTATCATGTTTTAATGTTTTGTACAGTAATTAAAATTTAAGAAATTTAAAGCTGTATCCATAAGGTGTGTTAGTAGTTTTGTTGTTAAAATAATGGACATCATTGATAGGGCAAAAGGTGGACCTTGAAAAATCGGCGAATATTTACAATTATTTTATATACTTGGTTATTCCGGTGGTTTTTTTAATCTTTATCCAAAATACCCTTGGTGTAGGATAATCTTCTCTTCTAAGGGATACTATATTACCACAAAATGATACAGTACTTTTGTTGTGTTCATTATTGTGGTAATAGTTTTTTTTTATTGTTTCAACTATGGTGCATTTTTTATAGGAGATTTCAAAGATGGAAGTATTCAAACGCTTTCAGGCAAAGCGTCGAAACCAATATGTATTGTTGGTGTGCCGAAGATTGAATGCTGTGCCCTTTCGTACCAAAATCCTAACTCTCTCTAGGCTATCAACACACCCTTTAATTGATAAACGTACTCTTTATTGAGTACCAAGTTATGATTCATTACTAAGCTTATGACAATTGAAACAAGCAGGTAATCATGTAAAATTAACATCCATTCATGTAAAGTCGTAATCTTGACAGATTTCCTAAAAGAAAAGTCTAAGCTGAGTCACATTGGATTAAAATAATATTCAAAAGATTAACATTTTCATGTTAAATTGCTTGTTAAAGCCTTCTTATACAAAATACTCGTACTAATAGCATACTTAATTGATTTTTAATGTTGCAGAGTACCTGCAGTACACGTCTTGCTACAAGGCCATCAGCAAGGACTGGGACAACTGCGCCAACAGGTTCGTCAGTCTAGTCAGAGAGGAGGTGGTGAGGAAGAACACCACCATGGAGTCTAGACTGCTGGAACTTTGCTGGTGCGTAGCCTGAGAGGTTATAGAATTTTAAATGGAAGGGTTAAGTGATCGAACAGCCCCAGTAAGCTTTTCACACACATTGAAACACTTGCGTGGCTCGTCACAAGATCTTGGGTGGCAATGCGAACTGCTGCCAAATAGTTGTGTACTTTAGTTTTACAACCTGCATTATCGAAGCTTCAACCAGATATTCATTTGGATCAACTGTTTTGACATTCATTGATTCTGCTATTCTAAAGACTCAACAGACACCGTGTTTTCCGAAAGAGAAAATTGTCTAACCAAGCAGATACTGTACGTAAAACAGATTAATTAAAATTATGTTGAAGGGGACGAAAGAAAGTGAACAAATTGCTTCTGTTGAAGTGCAAAAGCTAATCAATATACTATCCACTAAAAGTAACACAAACACTTTCTTTCTGTAGGTAAGACACGTGATAATGTTAGAACAATCATAGTGTATCATTGGGCTTCAAATAAATGATCCTGGCTAATAATCTTAGTGAGTAACAAAGCTATACATATCCTCACTGCATTGTACACTCATCCTTCACTCGTATTTGGGTTAGAATACGCCCCTAAGTAGCGTCATCATTTCAATAAATGATAATTGATACCTTTAAGCACAACCAATTCAGTAATGTTTTATTTCACTTGGAACAACCAGATACGCTGTCATAATCCAATTTATAACACTTAACATACAATACTAACGGCAAACATTAAAATACTCACTAATGTTACACTTTGCCTGTTGCCAGTGCAAGACACGGGTTCCTCAAGTGCGTGTACGTAGCGGCTCGACTCAAATGCAAGAAGGAGGAAGCTCTGTTCATCAAGAAGATCGCAGACACGTTGTCTAACATGCGTGTGTACTCCAAGCACTGTCGCAACGTGGACGTGGCGTTCTGTGGATCAGCTGATCGTCCACTCCTGTCAGTGCTGCCCCTACTGCTGCTCTGGACATTGGCCTTGGTCAAGTGAACACGTTGTAACATGACGTTCTGTGGATCAGCTGATCGTCCACTCCTGTCAGTGCTGCCTCTGCTGCTGCTCTGGACATTGGCTTTGGTCAAGTGAACACGTTGTAACGTGGCGTTCTGTGGATCAGCTGATCGTCCACTCCTGTCAGTGCTGCCCCTACTGCTGCTCTGGACATTGGCCTTGGTCAAGTGAACACGTTGTAACATGACGTTCTGTGGATCAGCTGATCGTCCACTCCTGTCAGTGCTGCCCCTACTGCTGCTCTGGACATTGGCCTTGGTCAAGTGAACACGCTGTAACATGGCGTTCTGTGGACCAGCTGATCGTCCACTCCTGTCAGTGCTGCCTCTACTGCTGCTCTGGACATTGGCCTTGGTCAAGTGAACACGCTGTAACATGGCGTTCTGTGGATCAGCTGATCGTCCACTCCTGTCAGTGCTGCCTCTACTGCTGCTCTGTACATTGGCCTTGGTCAAGTGAAAACGTTGTAACATGACGTTCTGTGGATCAGCTGATCGTCCACTCATGTCAGTGCTGCCTCTACTGCTGCTCTGTACATTGGCCTTGGTCAAGTGAAAACGTTGTAACATGACGTTCTGTGGATCAGCTGATCGTCCACTCCTGTCAGTGCTGCCTCTACTGCTGCTCTGACATTGGCCTTGGTCAAGTGAACATTTTGTAACGTGGTGTTCTGTGGATCAGCCGGGATCAGCTGATCGTTCACTCCTGTCAGTGCTGCCTCTACTGGTACTCGGGACATTGGGCTTGGTCAACACGTTGAAACATAACTACTGTATATCTCTGTAAATACCTCTAGACTTTGTGAATATATGAGTTGGGATATTTATTAAATACTCGAATTGTAATCAAATAATATTTATAACCCTAAATCAGATAATCCATGCTATTTTTATTTTTGTATACAGGGTTGGACAACAGTTATGACTCCTCCTATTAACTTCTTAATGATTTACAACAGGAAAGACAAAGTCTGCAGACCTCTATATGTCAGTAGGGAGTTTTTTCGTTGGTATCTCAATTCCTTCCGAAAACACAAAACGGGGTATTTTGGGGCCAGCTCAACATTTTTCAATATAAAGCCCCATCAAGTGACACCTCATTTTAAAGGCCATTGTTTTAAAAGAATCGGTGAAAACTAGAGATCCCTATCTCAACCCAATACAAAATTGCGGGTTAAAGAAAATAAATAGTTTTATCAGGTCCAATTTTCGAACTATTGGTTTTTCTTAGTACTTTTCCCCTCACTATCGCTTTTTGTACATTAACCCCTATTAAATTTTTTTTCCTATGATAAGTCAACTTGATCTTACATACTTACTCACTATTCGTACTTTTGATTGAAACATTATCTTATAATTTAATAATAATAGATAATAACGATAATATATTTCAGCCATTTAGAGATGTTTTATTTGCCCAACAACGCGCTTATAAGCTGATATTTTTTGTGACAGATTTGTTAGTGTATGTAGGATTTGTTATCTATTTAATTCAATTTAGGTCAGACACAATACCACAAAATTAATATTTGTTATTTTTATTATGTTAAATAACTACATTAGACCTACCAACTCGGTGGATACACTTTCCAATGCTTTGTTTTTCCTTTATGGTAGAAATATATATGAAAAGTAATCTACCACTTATACTACAACAGTTAAATTTTAAAATTGTCTGAAGACAAGAAATAACGACAGAACTTAACATTCTATACGTAACCAGCATATAGTTATAATATATAACGAAAATATGTTCAAATACAACTCAGTTACAAAATAAAGTAAAAGAAACAGGCATAAAACAACTTTACATAGAACTTTCGTTGGACATGTGAAGTTAAGTTATGTCAAAGGAATTTTGTTTTCAATGTTGTAATGGCTTAGTAGCAGGCTGTAGTAATATTTTTGTAATTACTTCATTTTTTTCTCTTTCCCCAGGGTGTAAAAACGTTTCAGAATGTTGGTACACTGTTATTTGCGTCTGAAACTTAAACTTACATTGTTCCTCATAGTTCCAAAAAACATTAAATTCCTAATTCACAAACCTATTAATTTATTGTTTTTTATAATATACTGAGAAAGTAGTTTGTATTAAAAAAATCCAATACGAATACCTGGGGTGAAAAATTATTAATTGAACACAAACAGGTCAATAAAACTTTCATTGAATTTAAACACATTTAATAATGTCTTTCAAAGTTAAAAAACTTAAAAAATACATTTTTACGAATATTTTGTAGCGTTTGAGTACGTGGTATGCGTTAAATTAGATTCAACTTTAAACTTGTGGAATTAAACCATGGATTTATTGCACACAATATGATTAGTAAACAAATCCAATTACACAATAATTTGTTTGATGACGCGACCAAAAATGATTGCGTTCACGCTTAACTTTAAAGCAAATCACCAATTTGTTTTCGTTCAAGTAATTATGCACAATTTACTTTTATTCAATCTCGAATGCCACTAATTACTCTAACCTAGGATGGATAATACAGATCGAATGTTAGTTACGATGTACGCTTCGTAAGGATATTTGTTTTCGAATTATCAGATATCAAACGTTACTCGCTTGGGCCGTTGACAGTCCAGATATTAATATTACTCAGTTATGCCGAGGGATTAGGAACGCAATTATAATCTGTGGACAGAATAATTAATCATTTTCAAATGACATCAAATCCATCGTGAACTCACTGTAATATCCGATTTTATCAACCGCTGTACTAATTTAATAAAAATTGTTATGTGGGCAAAACAGTTTTTTTTTTGTAATTTAATAAAAATTTATGCTTATATTTAACAAGCGTAGATTTCTATATTTTTCATCTGGCGTTCTAAAAAATATATTAATTACAACACAGCTACTCACACGTTTCAAATAAAGTAAAAGAAACCGGTCTAAAATGAAAGTGCTTTTGGTATTTCGAAAAAAATCGTATCATCAAGCGTAAACAAGATCACAGAGATTGCATTAGATTTTCATAAAAATAATAAACGTATTTATATAGAAAGAAAATCACCCCACTGTAACAAACCTGCAGACAAAGCGAGTTTCCATTTTACCTGACTGTCGTTATTAAAATATTGCATTTAAAATGCCAGATCTATTGCCTATTTCAATTCAATAACATTAATATTAATAATTAGCCTATTGGGTTTGCTGCTACAGGAAATGTAATAAAGTGTATTGTTTTTTAAATTGTTAATAGTTTAGTATGACATTAACAAATTCAATCGAAATATATCCGTAAAAAACCAAACTACAACAGTGTATATCCACACAAAAAAACATTGAAATTCCAAATTAAATTTTTTTCAAATGTTGTAACTAGTATTAGGCGTACAAAAAAGCTTCAATGTACTAAATTACTTGTTTTTAAGCTCTACAAAATAGTTTGGAAAGAAATTGCAGTATTATATGTTTTGAGGATCAAAAATGGGATACATATATTTTACCCCATAAAACTCCATTCCTATGCATTGTCCAATCATGTTTTCTCGCGAACCCGGGACCCTGAGAAATTATCACTCTTAATCACTGTAAAATTCAAAAACCTTTTGTACTTGATGGTTTCTTATGTCAACTATGGTGACACCAATTGAGTAACAAACCGATAAAAATTGGATCTGTAAGTACAACAACTAACATAAATCCTTAAATATGCATGTGAGTTAAAATCGTAATAAAATTGGATAATGGTTGAGTTCGCAGGAAAATCAATCAACTTTAAATAGCTCCAAGTTATATTCCGAAACAAAATAAATTAAATTATAGGTGTTCACTCTTGTAAAACTCGAAATTGATGATTTTACCTCAGGGTCTTTTACAAAGCGAAACGAAAGTGGCTTAATAATCCAACCTGGGGCTTTTAAAGAGAACATTGACACGAGTTCACTTTTCGTAAAAGGAATTTTAACATGGGTTATTAAAATGATTTGTCATTTATTTTATTTATGCTTACAGTGGTTAAATTTTATTTACTGGGACATCCACGAGCATTTAATCAGCAGTTTCTTGATTGTTGTATTATTTTTTTGTCAAGTCAGATCGGACTATATAATATTCAGGACTTTGTTCCCAAATTATTATGAAAAAGGCATAAAAGGTTTATTTCAACGAAAAGCATGTATACACCTTAAAACTATTTTGTTTTAACAATAAATTTATTTTATTTGCCTTTACTGTAGTAATTAAACTTACTTTGAACTCCCATAAACGTTTTGACAAGTAATGAAAACCCCTGTCTGACAGGTGTGTTATTTAAAAATTCAATTTTGGAATTGGAGTTGGAAAAAGTAAAACAATTTTAACATTGTGAAATCATCAACATTAAAAGTCCATTATGAATTCATTACCGCTTTGTGTTGATATAAAACAAAATTTATTGTTGCTAATGATAGGCCTACATTATGTGGCCTATGAAAATTCCTCTTCAAGTAAATTCTTTCTCTTGAGAGGAAATCTACAAAGATATTGCAGGAATCTTAAGGAATTCAATTGTATCTATTTCGCTACATTGCTGGATACGTGAGCGATACAAAAGATATGCTACATTTTAAGCCATAGCGTTTTCTTAAAAACAAAACAAACAAAAACAAAAAAACAGTTAACTTGTAAACACTTAACCACTAAAAAGGGGGTTTAATACGAAACTATTAACCCCCCCCCTTATGGATAAGCTCCCTTTTTAAGAGGTAATGTGGTATGGTCAAATAATTGAGGCCACGAAACTGGCTGTGACCAGCAGATTTTGTGTTCCACATTTAAAATGATTTATACACAGACTCATTGCACAATTCTGTTCTGCCACCAGCGTAGAAATACGCAGAAATGAAGTAATTTAGAAATCGAAAACAGCCATTTCACAAACTATTCCTACAAATGGGGAATATGTTGTTTTCTGACAGGACAGGTGGTATGTAGTTTATTATATTTTACATGGGTTTTAATTAAGATAAGTTGTATTGTATTTAATAATATTCATCAATCTAAGGCACGAAGTAAATAATCATAGTTTTCCTCAAATATCTTTAAATTAAAACCAATAAATAAATTGTGTAGAAATATGAAAATTGACATTGCTTGGTGGATACTGTTGACATATAACATTCGTCCAAACTTAAACTGTCAATACTTTGGACAGTTTATTGACGATGAACAAGTATAACGCTTCTGGCTTAAGTGAAGTTTGGTCATTAACAGACTTTTCCCTTTTAGGCTCTTAGAGTAATTATTTGAATACTATGAGAAACTATCAACTGAAAATACAAATTTTATATCTTTATTTAATATAATTTTATAAATGTACATGATTTTTTTATAGGTTACTAACACTCTGAAAACAGGCTAGGCCTAATTTATGTAAGAAAAGTAAGGGCGAACGAAAAACAACAATAAAACTATTTAGTTTATTTGCGATTATTTTTGTTTTAAAAAGAAAAACATATAAGATTGACAAGAAGATGATTAAGAGAACAAATTCGAATAAATACTTGAACATGTAATTTTGTTGTTCGTAACATAAAATTAAAAATTTAAAGAAACGAGTCAGTATCCTATGACAAAAGTCTGAAAGGATTTTAAGACCTATGCCCTAGACTTACATTCTTTAAGACTTTATATTAAGTTAAAACTATAAAACTAATAACACATAATTTGTGTACAAACAATACCAGTAATAAGAG